TTTTTTTTCAATTCTTGCACGGAAAGCGTATTGAAGCAGATATTTGAAAAAAAAAAAAACGTTGAACTACAATTTTGTTGTTAACCACTCCGTCTTCGATCTCTTTGGTGACCGTAAATGTCCGAGTATGACTCTCGGTGAGTCGAGGGCCACATTTTTTCTACTCATTTTTTGTGTTTGTGTGCCAGTTTGGTGTTTGCGCTTGTTTTTTTCTTCTTCAATTCTTCCATAGTGGCACATCGATAGACTCATTCGAAAATGAAACCGATTCAGTGAAGAATCCAAACGAAACGAGAATGTTATAACCAAATTTAAAGGGAAATAAAATGAGTTTGAAACAGTGGATGACATGAAGAGCACTACGAACTCGCATAAAAGAAGACAAAACGAGTTCTAATTGAGTGATTTCCGATGTATTTTATTCTTTTTAAACATTGTTGTTGTGGTTTTTTTTCTCCTCTCGTTCATTTCGTTCTTTTGATACAATCATTAAAACTATTATTTGATTCCATTGTATCGAAATGGAGAGATTACCGAAACGAACCGAATCGAAGGGAAAAAAAATCAATGTAAATTATGGGATATTGTGTATGTTGTTGTATCGCGCGCGCGCACGGTGAGCCACACGGTGCATGGTGTGTGTCGGTAGATCACAAAAAAATCGAACGCCCGAACGGACCTTTTTATGCATGCGACCGACACTAATTTCTCTTAAGCAGCAACGGCAGCAACGGCAGCAGCGGCATATGATGATGATACCACAATATGATTGTAAAACACTGTATTCCGTAGACGTCACACACATCCGTTCGATTGAGAGAGACGGATGGGCGCGCGCACATACACAACATCTAAACTGCCCGAACCACGAAGCCAATGCCGCTTGAATATCGAATCTAAAAGATATTCAAATCGGTTGTTGTGCCTCTTGTGCACACGACTTGGCTTTCATGCGTACACACAAATTTTGTAGCAACTTAATATTTTGACATCTTAACATATCCGTATCTGTTCATGTGTGTGCATCGAAACGAAACGCCGAAACAGCGAAAAATGCTCGCTGTCAAATTTTTGTTTTTCAATAAGGAAGAATACCAAATTACGGTTTCTCTGGCCAGAGCCAGGAGAATCATTCTCCGATTTCGTACGATTTCAATGTCGGTTTTATGGTGTGTGTGTGTGTGTGTGTGACTGTGTTTGGGTTGTGGTTGCGGCATCAGCAACAGCACCGCTACAACTTAATAGACCCACTATATTTAAGCTATTAGAACCGTGTTTTCGACGGTTAACACAATCGTTTAAATTGTTAGTCGATAGTTTGTTAGTTCGAAGATGAAACACACCATTGTATTATGCGGTGCATTTCGCTGTCTGTTCTGTCGCGCTCTACCTGTTTTCCCTTTCTCGATACACCACATGTGTGATGATGGCTTAATAGTTAAATAATAATACACCTCTGTTTTTCTATTATTTTTCTTTTCATCGTGTCTCTCTCTCTCTACTGTTGTTCTTGTGGTCAATTAGGTGACCGAATACAGTATTGTTTTACCGGAGGACATTACTGGAATCGTTTTCGGGTTTCAACCGAGAAATGTCTTTTTTATATTTTCGTGTTTTTTTTACTCTTTCTGCCGTTGTCGTTATTGTTTCGGATTGTAACTGCAGTAAGTTATGTGTTTTTTTTTTGTTTATTGTCGATGAGAATGCATTTTTTATATTTGATGCTAAGGCCTACATAACACACAACACTCATTGTTTATCTTATCTCGACGATTTCGTCTTTCTTTTACCAATGTCTTAACACCGTAGGAAACAAACGATCATTTTAACGAACGGCCAATAGTTAAAATGAAGAAGATGAAGAAGAAAAAAAGTAGAACACAATCCGTCGCGACTAGTTAAATGTGATACTAGAGCATCCAACAAATGAGACTGAGATATACATATGTACGATGTTCACTCGTTCGGCGAGAAAACAACATCAACAGAAAATAATTCCCGTCGTTCGGTCTCATTGTGTCATTGTTCTCTCAACCTAATAAAAAACATTTTTTTTTACATTCACTAGAATAAAATAACTAGCCAATATGCAGTGAAAATGGCATTTAACGATTTGCTTTGTCTCTGTGCATTACTCGTGAGCTCACAACCAGCTAAACTATATCGAAAATGTTGGAAAAGGCACAAAACACTAGTAAATTGCAGTCGATTTCGAGTTAGAATTCGGTTAAAAATCATTTGAAATTGTAATTATTTCGAAAGAACCACGCTGATTGTATTAAATCGGCGGAAATAAATGCCTCCAACAAAACAGAGACCAAAGAAAACAACCGAAATTAGTAGCCAGCATTGAATGAATGCTCGCACTGACCGAGAATAATGAAGACGTTACCTTAAGCCAAAAAGCATCAAATTTAATTTTATATTCGATCACATCGTTATGGAAATTTATTACTGACAATCATTGAAATCATGCAAAACGTCGGATGGAATGGAAGAGCTCTCAAACGGAATTTAATATAAAAATTGGGTGAGAAAATGTGCTAAAGCTGATTAAAGCATATTAATTTATTCGATTGCTATGCGCAATTTAATATTTTTTTCTTCTTTGAATTGGAAATATTGATGTTTTGTGCCATATACACATATAATTTTTATTTTCTACATTTTTTTTTCTCGAAATGTTCGGGCCTCTTTGTGCTGTTATGATGTGAAAATGGAAACTAATCGGTGGAAAGAGAAAAAAATTGTACAAATGAAAAAGGCGCTATCGTTTATCGGAATCAAGCCATTTAAATTCCGTTTTATATTAGTCATTTAGAAAAAATATATATCCAATCTGGCAAAAGCCACATCGGTCCTGATTAAAACCATATATTTTTTTTTATTTATCTTATAAAATAATGTTCTAACTTTTAACACCAACAAACCGCATATTCACCGCAAGGATAGAGAGATAATAAGGAAATTATGTGCAGCTTTTGCTTTATCCATCGCACACATTTGTGCCTGTGTGCATGTTCATTTCAACCATTTGATTGTGTCGTGCTAATGACGAAATTCTTTCACTTTCAAAAAACGGAAGTCTTTTGATCAACACCTTTCAGCCAAATGCAATGCGAAACCCTCTCATTTGGTCGTGTATATAAATTTTTTTTCTGTTCAGATTGTTTTTTTCTACTTCTTCTGTGTGTATGTCGCCGTTGTTGCTGTCGTTGTCGTTATGAAAGAGCAATGAATTGTCACACGATGCATTTACAAGTTTTCAACATACACATTAAAACCACATCCGATTTGGGCTCATAAAACATGCAATCAGAATGACTTAATGTGATGGTGTTGACATTAATGCAGCGATTGTGCGGAGTTTTACATCGAACACACGAAAAAAAAGTAAAATAACGACAAAATCTACCTTTTGATATGCATGTATATAATTTTTTTTTTCTCGTTCGCCATTCACTGTCGCTTCAGTAGACAGTTTATTTAGACTGGAGAGTGCACTGATTTGGCGAATGTTCTCCACTCATTTTTCATCGTCGCATCATTCCGTGTATTTGCGCTTCGATTCCATTTTTTTTTTCTCTTCTTCTCTTCTTTTATTGTCTCCCTTTTTCACTGTGTGCGTTCAGAGTACATCTTTTTTTCTTCTACTCTCTGTTCATTTCGGTCTGGCAAATTGGTTTCGTTAATTAAGTCAACAAATAAAATTGCATCTGCGTGGGCAGAATTTTGGTGAAATAACAATATTTCACGAGTCAAAGTTTCGTTGCTTTACACAAATACCGGGTCGCATTTAATTTATCGCTTTAACACTGGACAACGTGTGATTTTTCTCTTGGTCATTTCGAATGTTCCATGGTCTTTGTTTTGTGTATATGGCTTCTTTTTTTTAATTCTGCTCGGACCAACCATTTTCAATATGTGTCTGTGTTGTTTGTTTTTTTTTCTCTTCTACATACTCTTTTCTCTCATTCAATATCCAAAAATTACCGCAGCAAATTGTGTTATTCGTATGAAGTCACAAAGGACCAGTGATGATTAAAAATGGCTCACACGTTGTGAATGTGCCAACGAAAAAGGAAAAAAAATCCCATTCCCGCACCAAAAAAAAAATATGTTCATGGCTTTTTTTTCGGTTGTTTATCGAGTTTTCATCGACTTCTATATCATTGCTACCTGCTGATTTTTTTTTTGCTTGTTGGAAAAATGAAATGCCCCGTTCGGTTATGCAGACGAATTTTCAAATGCATACGAATGCTCACGACACAGACAAATCAGCGATAATTTGCCACACACACAAAAAAAAACAACAACGACTATTCACAGCGTTAATACCGATTACGATTGCGGTGTTTGTAAGCGAAATTTGTTTGCTTTGTTTGCTGCGATGTGATTCGAAGAAATTCGCACTGAATTTTCTTATTGAATTTTTAATACATGCTCGCATTTACCGTATTTTGTGTAAGCGCGAAAGACAGAAAAAAAAACTCGAACGGAAAATAAAACGATAAATTGCAATGGAACATAAACCGGGATATTGCGATGCACACGTCGAGCAATGAAATACTCGAAACGAGATAATTCCAAAACAGCGTCACGATTTCTTTAGGAATTACCGAATCGAACGAAAAAAAAATTTGCGTATTTTCGCATACCTCCAGCGTTCTTCGTGTGATTGCCTTTTTGGCTCCTTTTTTTCATATTCCCAATTCCTCACTCTCTCGTTTGTACAATTTTTTTTTTCGGGACAAAAATTCCATTGACATCATTTCAACCCAATATCACCGATAAATTGGTTCCATTCGAAACCATGCATACAACTGTCTTTTTCTACTTTTTACAAATCGAAGGATTCATCAAATGGTTGAAACACGAGAAACAACAACAAAATGCTATGGATTTTCTGCACCCGAATCAAATGGAATAACCACAAAAAAAAAATCTTAAATTGCAAAATAGCACAAATCGAATCAATATTGAAAATATATGAAGCTTACCTTATGTCAAATATGGTAGGCCTGCGTTCGTCGATGCAGTTTTCAGCTATATAGTTTATCCGTTAATGATGTTGTCGTTGAACAATAAAACGACATTATCCAATTTAAATGAATGCATAAATATTCATGTTCGATTTTATTATTGTGTTGTATAGATCTATTTGAGTCGTTGGGTTGGTATTGAGAACTATTATTATTTTGCTGTATTCGCTCGCGGTGTGCTGTGTCTTTTGTTGGGCTCTCTTTGTTTGAGGCCGCGTGTTGGTGGCTATTGCTTCCCGAAATGGATTTACGATAAAATAATTGACAAATACCGCACCGATAATACCAGATTATAAATATAAAAACACATCCATTTTTTTTCTTTTCCTTCGTCGTCGTCGTCGTTGTCGTTGTATTCTTCTTCTCTTCAATTCATCTGTCGTTCGGTTTCGTTTGCCCGGATTGTGTTCGTTCACGTTTGTCACACACAGCAAAAGAAGAAGAAAACAGTGTTTTTTTTCCACCGCGTAAGACGATAAAAATACCGATAGCTTCTCGTTTTGTAAAATTTTTAATTAAGTATTGATATGGTGTTTACTTTAGAGTAAATCGTGTCCTTACGTCACCGAATTCACTCGTTCTCCCTCTATCTCGGCATGATCACAAACAAAAGCGTGCGCGCGCGCGCGTAAAGCAGATGTATCAACTGCAGTATTATGACTCATTCAATGCGATTATGATGTTCATTTATTTGTCACACTTTGCGAACTGCACTTGGTTATTTTATGGAGTGGGCAATTTCATTCACATATGCTTTATGCTATGTGTGTATATGGGTGGTCAGGAATCGATTGGAATAGCCCACTAATTTTGTCGCCCCAGAAAATCAAAAATGTGACCGGGACTAATTTCCGTTCATTTGTTATGACTCACTTTCAATATGCGCACACCATTCACACAATAGCGCCGTTATTGAAATTATCAATTATGTTGTTTTTGCTGCTGTTTCGGTTGTAAAACCTTTCTTTTTTATTCCTGTGGAAAAAGACGATTTGGTCGGATTATCTACATAAACATCGATAGGTAATTACATAGCCATTCCCATTGGTGTGAATGTACACAACGGCAAAGGCATTTGAAATATCGTTTGTGTTTTTGTCCAGCCACTGTCGATCGATTCACATAGGCGCCGAAAAATCCATTGCAAAAACCATAGAATTTTGCATTTCAAATCAGTTGCCATAAATTGTTAATAATCACAGCAATTTTATGCGACGTTTTAATTTCACTACAAAACCAATACTACCACGCGCACGCTAGACAAATCGACGGAAATTCACGACCGAACAATAACAACAATTGAAAACACTTTGATTAAAAACCATTGTGAATTTCATTTTTCATTCCACAGTTGGGAAAAACAAAAATCTCGCGTTCTTTTTTCGTCGCTGGTTGTCGCTGTTGTCATTCACATTCGATGGCGCCTGCAATGGCAATTTAAAACAATATCAACGCGAGCAAGAGAGGAAAGCGAAAAAGAAGACGAATAATAAAAACGGGTTACATTTAATCCTTATTAATATATATTTATATGTGACGATAATACGGTCGATGGTTCTTTTCCCTCTTGCTCTTGTTCTCTCTCTCTCTCTGCGAAAAATCGAATTCGAGTTATTGTCGCCGCGTGGATGCAATTTTATATTTATAAATGTAGCTTTGTTTGGCACTTGGTGCGAGAGCACTTTTAATTATTTGATAAGATTAATTTCACATTGTGTGTGTGACGGGACACTCTTTTTTCGTATATAGATTCATTCACGCGAAGCATCGACAGAGTCAGTTAATGCATTCATTTATTACAATGTATATATATGGTGTTAATTTGCATGTGTTTTCTCCGTTGTTGGTACGGTTTTTTCTCTCCTCGTTCGGTTCGGGCACCTGAAATGTTTCGAAACAAAAACCTTTAATTAATTTATATTGGCACATACAAATATTTTCATAAATATTGTATATATTCTAGTTATTCCATGGGTATTTTTTTGTTGCTGTTGTTGAAGTCAATCTTTTTCCGGGTCAATTGACATTCCCAAAAATTATAAATGAACATTTGAACTATTTTCGGACCAATTGAATTGGAAAAAAATCGACTTTTAAGTAGATTTTGCTATTTTCCACATGTTTTTTGTACATAAAAGCGAAAATAAAGCAAATTCCATTGGTCAATAATAATTTCGATCGATTTGATGGGCTCCGATCGGTGAGTAATTTTCTGTCGTTTTATAATTTCTTGCATATTCATGAAATTGAACCTGTTCGACGTCAAAGTAGATTGACCCTATTCCATGCGATCAACGACTATTTCAAAAATGTATAAATAGCTTCATTCAGAAAATTCATCGAAGCACTGGTCGACAGTCAGTTTTGGTTGTATTTTTTTGTGTGTTCTTTTTATATTGGATATGTGTGCTTATTTAAGCATGCACAAGATTACGAGACAAAGAGAGAGAGAGAGAGAGAGAGAGAGAGAGAGCGAGAGGGAAAATGAGAGAAAAAAACGGCAAATTTATCCATGAAATTACCTTAACGGCGTGTATAATTTCAAATGGAAATTTAATAGTGGTAAAAGTTTGTTGGATAATTCCTGTCCATGGCAATGGCATTTATATTTGGGTATAGCAACGATGAGCACAATTTTCGACGTTATTATTTGGCGTTCAACTTGTGTATAACTAGGCATCAACGACACACGGTAGTTTTGTCCACGAATGCTATGTGGCTACTTAGAAGCGACGCACACACACAGAGCGGTAGTGAGAGAGACATTTTGTTTGTGCTTTCTTCGATTAGTCTGAAATCAGTTTGATGGTTTTCAAAGCACCTTATCATATCAATCAATTATGTTATTAAATAAACATTAACGTTGATTTTATTGACAGCTGGTTAACGAAAGGTTTCAAAACTCTTTTCGGAATGATGACGAACCATTTGGGGCTTGGGCTTGTTCATTCCGTTCGTAACATTGGCATTGGCGATGATCCAATGTTGTGGTGCTTTAGTTTTCATTAAATGTTATCTTATTTCAAAGATCACTATTTAGATTCAACTGAATCTCGATGCCGTGTATAGCACTGACTCCATTCTGATTTTTGTTTTTCTCAATGGCTACAACCACACATACACATGAACACCTCAATGAACGAAAGCCGATTAACAAGTTCAATGAGAGTCGAACCAAGCCACCACAATACAAACCAGCACACGATAAAACTATTCAGCGTAATATATCTGATCGTTTACGATTTTAATTAACCAGAATACATTAGTCATATTTTTTTCGATGTAGAAAAAAAGCATCCACTACCTCACACGCACACTGCCGATCATTGCGATTGGTGAGAACAATGTGAACGAGATGAGAGAATGACTTATTTGGCTGATCATCTCAGTTATGTCAAATATTTAATGATGCCTGAAATCGAATCGACTAGATAAAATTCGTAACATCAATTTAACGATGTTTCGATCATAAGAAAAAGAAAAAAATAATCGACGAATGAGCTGGTCGATTTTTACGGCATGTCTTCTCTCTCTCTCTCTCTCTCTTTCTCTACTCGTCTAGTCGGTGGCTTACAGTCGCCGAGGTGTGTTCTCTTCGTCTGGCCCTTCTGCGAGATCGTGTGTGGATATATGTGCAACAACGGCAGCAAACAAGTACTCGCGCAATACCTTCATTACTTGTAATCTATATATATATATTCGTTCATTATGCGTATTGATTTTATGAACATCATCGTTGGGGCGCTGCATGTACTATGCAACACCATCTCTCATTCTTGATCTTAAACATAGATAAAATCTTTAATCGATCGCATTTAAACTGATGGATCGTTCGATTTATCTCATTCACTTTATGCATCGCATTGATGTCTGGTGTGCCATGGATTATTTCCATTTTTACACAATCCGGATCCCGGGAACGCATATTTAAGATACTATCTGCTGTTTATATTACTGTTGATTTCTCTCTCTCTCTCTCTCTCTCTCTCCGTTCATCAAGTGTGTGTGTTCGTTCTCCTTGTTCAAATGTTGTTGTGTGTATCATTTTTTGGAAAATACGCGATTGTTTTATTCCAATTATTTCGTCTGGAATGTGACATTTGTAATGTGTTTCCCTGGTACAGGCCCGGAAGCGTCGGTCATGTTGACATCGAAATGGCAAAAGAACAGACCGAAAAATAAGAATTATGTTGCACGCAATTGTGATTTGAACATGGAATATGACGAATGTGAATTTGGAAAAATAAAAACAAATATCAAAAGCATTTTGGAAACGAGAAAGAAGAGAGAAAAAAACTGACTCACAAGAATATCCAATAAAATACAAAAGATTTTTGTGAGATTAGAAAAGGTGAGTCGTTCGTAGAAAACTCGAAGAGCTGCTGAGATAAAAATAGTCGAAATAAGCGATTGTTGAGACTTCAAAGATAGGACCACTTGATTCAGACATGTAAATGAAACGTCGATTCTCTTGACGGCTGCTTTAGGGCGACACAATAGAATATACGATGCGTTGAGAGTCAATTTGAAACACATCATAAAAAAAGAAGCAGGCAGTGGTGTTATAAAACGACGAATAGCAATGGCAACAACAGCCACATGAAAAATAAAAAGCATATAAATCAGAAACACACATCGCCGAATGATGATGATGAGATGACGATGATGCACCGATTTTTCATAATCTTTTTTTGTTCCTCTGTATTTGTTCGTTCAATCGTATTCTCTCTCTCTCTCTCTCTCTCTCTCTCTCTCTCTCGCTTCTAAGTCCAAAGTTTGTATAAAAATACGTATGAACGAAGAAGAAAATGTGTTGTTTGTTTGGAGTAACGACGAAAACCATTCAATAGTCGAGGTGAAAGAGGTAGAGAGGACTACTTATAAAATTGTGTAAAATATTGACAATGAAAAATTACTCGTCAGTATTTCGAGCGAATTAAACAGTGAAGAGAGAGAGAGAGAGGCGAGAGAGATAGATGGTCACATTAAAATATGAGCCACACAAATAGCTCATTTCATACGGATTTATTCTCGAAAGCCGCGCCACAAAATGACCAACACTCTTTACACATAGTACATATCGGTGGAATGGTGATTAAAAGTTTCAGTGAAAAGTGTTGCCGATAAAATGCGCCGAGGATTACCTGTATATACGATATGATTATTATTTTTCGACGAATTCAAAAGAAAAACGTTTGCCAGGCTTCAACGCACACAGATAGCGAGATAGAAAAAGAAGAAATCCATTGAAAATATGATATTTAATTCCAGCGATTCATAATAAAACTTCATCTCTATTGCTCTTATCTCTTTTTCCGTCTCCATCCTCCTTCTCCTCCTCTTCTTCTTCATCACTGTGTTTGCATTCAGCATTCTCCTTATTTATCTTTGTCCGTTCATTTCTATTACAATAATCAGAGGTATGTTTTTTTTTCTCTCCACCAAACGCATGTGAATCAAAACAAGCAGAACACGAGATTGAGAGGAGAGAGGGAGAGCATAAAGGCGATAAGCATGAAAAGCAAGTGTATTACAGACCGATGAATAGAAATAAGAGGAAAAAAAAATTAAATCCACCACGATAGAATAGTGGGTAATCAAAAAATTGAGAATAAATTAGATCAACGAACAAAAACATATTAACTAAATTGTCAGATTAGAGTGTGTTCGGCCATAAGGTTTTGTATAAAAATAACTTGTTTGTTTGTGTCTGTGTGTTTGTGCGCACTTCTCTCTCTCTCTCTCTTTTTCTCTCCAGCTCTCTTTCTGTTTGGCTCACGGTATTGTTGACCGACACACACATGCTCTCTTCAAAATCCATGATGATTATGCAAAGAACGGATCTCATATTAACGACCAACAGCAAAATCTAAGTCTAATGGCTTAGTTTAGAGCCACTTGGAAATCCAATCAGCTTGATCGGATCCATAATTTGGATTTTACGAAATGAATTCTTTTTTGACTATCGATTTAATTAGCTTCGATTATGCCACAATGTTAATAAATGCTACACATATCGTGTGATCAAAATCGTCCGTTAAACACAGAGTGTGAGAGAGTGAGACAGCCTGACTGGCTCAAAGAACTGCTTCTGTTGTTCAATTTTGAACGTGAGTTCGATTGAATAAGTAAACGTGGCTAACTGCAATTTTATTGGCGTTTTGCAATGATGTACGATCGCAAAAGCGTGTAAACACTTCGATCGGTATTTATGCATACAATTAAACAATTTATTTGTGCTGTTCGGGAAATTCCTTGCGAGTGCATTTTTCGATGGGTTGCACGCTGCGATTAAATCGAATTAATAACGCGAAATGTGTCTCTTTCGCTCAGTGCGTTTCGGTCATCTCTTTCAATTGAGAACGAAACACGAACTACAGAAAAGAAAAACACACACACCATGCATATGATTTGCATTTTTTTCGTGCCTTTCGATCCGCGATTCCCTCTCTCTCTCTCGGCTAGCCGAACCGAGCCAAGAATGTATTCTTGCATAAAGCAGCCGATAATGAAGTCATTTATGTTGCTAATAACATACCGCTTAACATTTCTTTGCGCAAGTGCTGATAGGTATGGATCTTTTTTTGTGCTTATTTTCGCGATAAGGAAATTGATTATCTTAGTTTTAGCTATACTGTGTTATTGTTGTTGTTATTGCTGTTTTATTGTCGACCGATCTCAGTGAGTATTTTCAGTTCATTTGTTGTGTGCGTTTCTCTTTCTCGCTCTCACCGCGTTATTGATGTGTCTCTTTTCTGCTTGCTCCACTACTAAAACTTCATTATACTTCTCTATACTGCATTTTAGTTTATTTATTTAACTTGACTTCCATCGTTTGCATGCGATGCATCCAACGTAATATTTTGACTGTGTTCATATACACATTGGCGTATGTAAAGGAGCCGCTCGACAGAAGATGAGAAAAAAAAACACACACACACACCACATTACACAAACAATAAAACGCAACACTTTCTTACACTTTTTTTTTGCCACGGAAGATCGATTTTTATCGATCGAATACCATAATACGGAAGAGACACAACGAACAGAAAAACACGCACCAGAACCCTGGCGATTCCAGAACAAACGATCAGACGAAGCGAAAAATTGCTATCGAAATTCCAAGCGGTAAGCACAAGCATCTGAGATATGCAAAAATTCAGGGATTCTTTTCGGCAACGGCGATTGTTTTTGCAGCAACATTTTTCGTTGCCTTTTGTTTATGTTGCAATGCACATGCCGAAATGTGTGCAGTTTCAGTGTTTTCTGGTCGATTGATCAGACAAAACAAAGGTGAAAGAAACAGAAACGTACACGAAATTTATTTTGCATACAGTGAACTCTCCCATCTTGACTTACGATCAATCAACAAATGAAAAATGAACTGATCCCCTTTCGAAATTGAGTTACTTTACCACCGTCACTGTCGTCGTCGCCTCCGCTGCTGCTGTTTTTTTTTGGCAAAATGCAAAACGACACACACAGACACAACAAAAAGGGAACCAACGTAACATGAACAACAAACGGCGCGCACTTATTCAGAAAGTTGTCAGAGTGCATCGAAACGGCCGTACTGACCTCTCTTTCTCTCTTCGTGTCTCTCCTTTCACATCTCATTTGCATCAAAGAGCAAATTTTTGTGTGTTGTTCGCAGAATGAAACGAGAGAAAAAAAAATTAAGTTATCATTTGATTTTGGCTTCTCTGATGCGTGTGCGAAAATCGTGCTTTTGTTTTGACTGCTGTGCATTGCATTCTATGACTCAATTTGCAGCGGCTTCCTTTTTGTATGAAATTTTGCATGAGAATCAGGCATGCATGTCTCCCTCTCTCTCTCTCTCTCTCTCTCTCTCTCTCTCTCTCTCTCTCTCTCTCTCTCTCTCTCTCTCTCTCTCTCTCTCTCTCTCTCTCTCTCTCTCTCTCTCTCTCTCTCTCTCTCTCTCTCTCTCTCTCT